CTGTATATTGATATAGGACAAATTTTCAAAACAGACCCTTTTGGGTTTTTATTTGCAAAAAACGACCTATTTCGAAAAAAATTACAAAAACCGACCTGTTTTCAGCCCAGCGCTGAAAACAGGTCGATTTTTGTTAAAATTTTTCCGAAACTTCACGGGAGTTCAACTCCCGTGAAGTTTAATGTATTTTTAAACTTCACGGGAGTTGAACTCCCGTGAAGTTTAATTTATTCATAAATCTTCACGGGAGTTCAACTCCCGTGAAGATTTATGCCCAGAATATCACCAAAGCTGCTCTCTGGGAAGTTGAGACTGCAACTTCATGGGAGTTTAACTCCCGTGAAGTTGCAGGTTATACTAAACATGCACAGAATGTTCTGCATGTTTTGTATACATACCTGTTAACTCATATATACACCAATTTAATTGCAAACAATCACAACAATATATACATGATTTAACCATGAATTAAACATGCACGATTATATATATGAACAATAATTGATCTTCAAAAGTTTAGTATTTGAAAATTTAGGAAAGTTACAAATTTTAACAAAATAACTTCAAATACAACCCAATATACCTCCCCTCCTTCCTCTCCCTCTCTTCCCCGCCCCCTGGGTTCCTACTGATGAGCCTCAAATATCTGTGTATCCGGCTGTGTATGAAGTTGCGAAGGGCCGGCTCCATCGGCATGCGAAGTGCCTGCTCCATCGGCATGCGAAGTGCCGGCTCCATCGGCATGCGAAGTGCCGGCGTCATCATCACGTGGCCGTCAACGTCGAGCGTACGCCTGTCCAAATGAGCGAGACCTGTCCTCACGACCTGCGAACTCGTCGACGTGAGTTTTATGAAACACCTGCGCTATGCTCTTCTTGATCCTGCTGATGAGCCCTAACGCCACCTGATCCTGAATCTCAGTCACGTGCGCATTAGTATCAGCATCAATGCTATCTAAAACACGGACCTGCGAGGTAAACAATTTATTAAGTACCAACTCAATAAAAAATGTTATAATTTAGCTTAGAAACTTACGTAATCTCTCTCGTTCATCCCACTAGGGATGTAACTATCTGTTGGTGGGCGTGGCATGTGTCAAGCTGACTACCAACGCATATACACGGTATAGTCAACAGCTGTGGGCCTCGTATCCTGTATGAAATCCCACCTGTGAACCCACCTGTCTATATAGGCCGCACGGACTACGGCCCAGTCAGTACAGTGCGATGTAGGGCGCCGTCGACGATCGATCTGCTCGACATGATCTGGAATATGCTGAGAGAGCGTAAACTGCCGTAGCACACGGTCCGAGACATGCATCTCCACGATCTCCCAACAGATCAATGGAACTCTGGCTCTCCTCCATAAGTCGGGACTATCTCGGCAGATAGGTGCAAGAGAATGCATATCGAGCTCCGGCGGTGTATAGGGTCTCGACTATCTCGGCAGATAGGTGCAAGAGAATGCATATCGAGCTCCGGCGGTGTATAGGGTCTCCACTTGAACTGAAATAAAATAAAACATTTATCAGTATCATACAGAAAAACTATAATATTCATACTTCTTGATTTTTATATTTACCTGTTCGTGTTGGAGGACATCAAGCTCATTTCGGTAAAACTGACGGTGACGTGTCGCTGATCTGTACTGAGCATATCGCACGTTATACCTATATGCAGAATAACGAATATATAAGTACAAATTCATTACGAATGAAATATGTGTGTACAATTATACATGTATGCCAAAGGATACTGCCCCTCTAGGTCACGGTGTATAAGTAAAGTGGGTCGTCTAATATGAATGCGCTCCCATGACCAAATCTGTATCAACGTACATCATCCCTTGAATTCTTTATTCTGCATCAGGGATACCCTACCCAATTCTCGATACAAGTATGCCAACACCGCACTGCCCCACGATAGTGCGCCGCATACATCGAAATCCTCCAGGAGTGGTAGCCATCGTGCATGTACGAGTGTCTTGCTCGCATCAGGAAATAGTACGCACCCTATCATGTGCAATATGTACGTACGAGCATGAAACTGGAGCGTCTCAATAGGGGCATCCTCTGGTATATCGCTCTGAAATGTCTGACGAAGCCACGATAGCTTCATCGCACCACTCCTCAAGTCGGGAACCTGACCAAGAAGCCTAGCACATACCTCCGGCCAACTATGATCATCGGTGCTCGTAACTGCCGGTCCATCGATCCGGAGTCTAAGTATGACGGCCACGTCCTGTAAGGTGATGATGCACTCCCCTATATGCATGTGAAAGGTGTTGGTCTCTGGCCTCCACCTCTCAATAAGTTCAGTGATGAGCGGCCAATCAAGCCTAATATATCGAATCGTCGAACACTCCCGAAATCCGGCCTGAGCGATCAGTTCTAGTACCCTCTCATCCTCAATGACCCAAGCCGAATGACTCTGGGAATGCTCGACCATCGTGATGTCTGGCACGGGCTGCACATACTTCTTCTTGAAGTTGTCTCTAATATGTCGCAAGCAATAGCGATGTGCATGTGGTGGCGGGAAATGTCATTGGAGTGCTCTTGGAATTCCTTTTATCCTATCGGATATGAATGTAATCGCCCGCGTCCCCACACTAGGGATATGATATCTAATGCATGCAAAAAACCAAGCCCAATTCTCTGTGTTTTCAACATCAACCACAACAAATGCTAAAGGAAACAACCCGCCATCCGCGTCAACTCCGGTTGCAACAAGCAAAACGCCTTTGTATTTCCCATATAAGTTGGTTCCATCAATACTAAGAAGAGGACGGCAATATCGAAACCCCTCAATACAGGGCCCAAATGCCAAAATACACCGGTGAACCGCCTTTCTCCACCGTCAACCGGGTCCGAAGATACTTCGTAGACAGTCCCCGGATTTTTTCTTTTGAGTGCTTCAAGATAATGAGGTAAGATCTCATACGATTTATCCCAATCCCCGAATATTTTTATCATCGCTTCCTCCTAGCATTCCAACACTTGTGATATGATACATCCAAGTTGGTGGCTTTATGCACTAAAAGACGGATATCTTTCGGCCTTAGATCAAGGTCCTCCCTCAGATGCGGTAAAATCAATCGATATATAAAAGAAGAGGACACATTCTTGTTATTCATCTCTAATCGAGGATTGCTACAAGTGTGGAGTCCATTGTATGCCATGATTTTGAATTGCCCACCTACTCTTGCACCCGAGCGTGAATTAAGCTTCCACGGACACCTCGCATTGCCGTCGTGGTGTCCACTATTATCTTCAACATCGTCATCTTTGCGATAGAAACAAACCACATTATAGCTTGTAGTATTATTTTTGGTTGGCCTGAACTTCACATTTTTTGTAATGGAATACGTGCGAATAGCATGGATCAATTTCTCCTTACTCTCGTGAAGATCTCCCTTCATGAATGAGAAGTCCTTGGCCTGTGTATCAACACCGCTATTAGTGCCAATAGGAACACTTTCCATCACAGAGTTATCAATCCATTCATCTCCTTGAAGTTCATCGGGCGGTGGATCCTCTAAGACGACATACTCATTATTAACATAACATCCGTAGATGTGTTGGTTTTCCCCGTCATCACGATCTATCAAGGTCATGCTATTAATTTGTAATCCCTCCTCTTCATCATCATTCTCGGATTCGACACTTGCATTATCTTCTTGAATTCCCGTGTTAGTATCGAAAGCATTCGAAGTGCCCACGAACGAAGGACCGCTCATGTATTGTGATTGTGTCCAACATTCATCTTGTTGAGGAGATAAAAAGCCTACAGAATCAACTTCAGGATCCTCCAACATGCGGGAATACATTCCTTGGGAGTTCAACGATTTGCCCAAATCCCTCTGATGTTTTTCAATGAACAATTCGAAATGAGACCCATATCGTAGTCACTTGATATTTGAATGCCACTTGTTATGTTCCCCACAACAGGATAATTGCAAACCACACTAAGGTGATACTCACGTGAGTTAGTTAATATAAGTTTGTGTAATTCATTAACCAACTCATCGAAAGTACACGATTTTGTTATGAACAACGGTCTCGTCGCGCCTCCTTCATAAACGAGCATATTATTTTCGAGATAATTAATCTTCCCATCATAAGAACAGAGAATTACGATTCGATCGTTCATCGTTACCTCTGAAGAGTGAAAAATTAAAGATCAATATTACACGAAAAGCAAAATAAATATTGATTGTTACTAATTTTTACATTTAGGTAGTAACTCTAATTTCCACAATAATTCATAATTTCACCTCTAAATGCACAAAATTATTTAATTTTTCTTCACAAAATTCGTAAATAATCCACAATTAAATTCTAAATGCGAAAATTTGTCCTTTGTAAATAATTCACAATTAAATTCTAAAATCTAATTTATGGCATACATATGTAGTAACACTATTTTTCGCATTTATTGATAATTTCCCCTCTAATTCCACAAAATTATTGATAATTTTCACACTAATTCCACAAAATTATTGATAATTTCCACACTAATTCTTCACAAATTTCCCAAAATTATTGATAATTTCCCCTCTAATTTTCACATTTATTGATAATTTCCCCTCTAATTTTCACATTTCTTCACAAAATTCGTAAATAATTCACAATTAAATTCTAAAATCTAGATTTTTATATGAAATCACAATCAAATAGTGAGAGTATACAAAAATTAGAGAGTATAAATTTTTTTAGGAAGAATTACCTGTTTTTTTATCTGAGACTGAGATCTCACGTCGGCAAACGGAATGGAGGTGGCGGCGGCGGTCGGACGCTCCGGCGGCGGCGGTCGGGCGCTGGGCGGCGACGGTCGGGCGCTGGGCGGCGGCCTTATATAGGCACGCCAAACTCTACGGGAGTTCAACTCCCGTGGAGTTGCAGACGGCATTTCCCAGAGAGCGCTTTCTAGGAAATGCGACATGTAACTCCACGAGAGTTGAACTCCCGTGGAGTTTTAAAGAATAAATTAAATTTCACGGGAGTTCAACTCCCGTGAAGTTTAAAAATACATTAAACTTCACGGGAGTTGAACTCCCGTGAAGTTTTAGAAAACAGGTCGGTTTTTATAAATTTTTTCGAAAAAGGTCGTTTTTTGCAAATAAAAACCCAAATGGGCCTGTTTTGAAAATTTGTCCATATATCACTGTTGGAACAACAACAGAGGCTACAGAAAAAGACTCGAATCCTTGAAAGAAAAAAGAAAAGAAAAGAAAAGAAGAGAAAATTATTTCCATTCCCAAAATTCTCGCGCGCGGTCGGATCTGGAGAACCCTTCAATTTTCCCGCAAAAACCCCCAAATTTTGATGCACTGAAACATGGTAAGTCTGATATTTCCACCCTTTTCACCTGTTTTCTTGGGTTCTTCTTTCGCCTGTATCTTTTGTCAAATTAATGAATAGGAAAATAAATAAATAAATACAGATTTTGCTTGACATGGAATTTGTTGAGATCGAGAGCTTGCTTTCTTTAAAAGTAGTTTCTTCCATTAAAACCAAAGTTGTGGCCTTTGATCTACGCACGTGAGCTCAATTTGGGAAGAATATGAAAATGGGTTCTTAGATCTTCTGGAGAGAGGTTTGTCAGTGTTGAAGATTGTTGCTACAACAGTAATTTCAGTGATTTGGGGAGACCAATTCAGAGACATGAAAGATTTAAGGGATCAATGTCTAAAAATTAATTTTTTTGGGGGGGTATATAAAAAAAAAAGAGAGGTGTAAGACCTTGTTTCCAGTTTCTAACTTGTTTGCTATCTGATGGTTGCTGTACATTTGATAGGCTTGGGTTACCTTGCTTGATTTCTGGGCAGTCCCTTCGCCTCTTTCTTGATTAACTCATCTGATCATATGAAAGAAGGAAAATTTACTGATTTTGAAAAAAAAAATGTTGAATCATATCCAAGCGAAACTAAATTTTAGCTCATATTTGGACTAACAAGCTTCAAGGTCTTTGCTCCCTTTTTCACTTGCAAAATGCACTAAAGTTGGAGTCACAAGGTTCACCGCCCCAACCCCCCGCGCACATGCGCTTGCGCTCACCCACGCACCAACCCAAACCGAAAAGAAAAGAAAAGAACACAACAGCAACGACACATGATGAAGAAGGAAAAAAACTCACTGCTTCTGGTGAAGTTTTGAATCAATCGAAAGCTCATGTTCGGAGCTATTTTTGGATATTTCGACACAAAGCTTGGTATTTTCATTAGGTCATGCCTTCCTTGTGTATAATTGGTTTTATGTAGCACTAGAGGAATTTATTTTCTCCGGTCTGCGTCTTTTGGTTAGTCTCTTGTTCACATCTATCATTTTCAGCCCCTGTTGGAGAGGGCCTAGCTTCTATTTCATTATTTCAAATGCATTCCCATAGAAGTGTTTGAGCTCTTTGTTTGATGAAGTTGCGTCATGATTCTGGATTATTGAGATAATCATCCTACTTAGAATAGCGTCATGATTCTCGAGCAACAAAATAAATAAATAAATAAATCCTTTTCTTCCTTGTGCCATAAGAGTTGCACAAATTAGTTTTTCGACGTTAATGAATAATCTGGTTTGGTAGGTAAACCGCAAGGGATTTCTGAAGACAACTCACACTTGTTACAAACTGCGCTCGTTCTCTATACCTTACATTTGGATGTTATTTTATTGCTATAACATGAAATGGATTGAAAAAAGCATCTCAAACCCAGAAAAATGAACCAACATAATCCATAAGCTTTATTTTATCCTGCAAATGTGTTTTTGGAGGGCAAAGAAAAGGAAATGTTAACTTATTGTTATTCCAGGGATCGTAATACTGGGAACTTGTTATCGTCTTTCGTCTGAATTGTTTGTTACAGAGTTCTTTGAAAGTTAACGCGACAACAAACATTGTATGCAGGAAAAAGAAGCAAAAAAGGAAGCCTTCAGGAAGTATCTAGAATCTAGCGGCGTGCTTGACGCTCTGACTAAAGGTTTTCATCAGTGTTAATTAGGATTATTTACTGAGTCTGTACATGACCGACTAATTCTAATCCCTAGTCTATGGCTCTCTTGTAGTTCTTGTTGCGCTATATGAAGAGAATGACAAGCCATCTTCTGCACTCGAGTAAGTTCTTTGTATGCTGAAGTTTCTGAAATTAATACCTACCATCCAAAGCATCCAAAGCATGGATGCACTTGCTTATAGCAAATGTAGATGTTGAGAGGTCTCTCTTTCCTTTTCTGTACTCTTTCATCAAATGAATGCTGAAGTTTCTGAAGTTAATACCTACCATCCAAAGCATGGATGCACTTGCTTATAACAAATGTAGATGCTGAGAGGTCTCTCTTTCCTTTTCTGTACTCTTTCATCAAATGAAGACATCTACTTATGCAATTTGTTTCACATAGTTTAAACTAGTCCATGTGCAAATGCAGTAATGCATATGCACAAGAAGTGACTTCAAACCATGTGAAGAATCATCAGTTGTGCTCTGAGTCTACAACTAGTTAGTCTTTGATTTGGAAACTGTCAGTTATAACCTTATCTAGCATAAAATCACAACATTTTCCAGCATAATTTTATTTGTCTGCTTATAATTTTTTTTCTTAGGAGAGGAGATCTTTGCAGAGTCCAGGCAGATAACCTCTTGGTTAAAAGACTTTCCAATGAACGCCCTTATTTTTTGATGCTTTCTTTCATGTACAAATCAAAGCTGCCTTATTCTTCTATCTTGTAAAACGTCACTCTCTTCATACTCTTACCATGTATATTCAGAACTTTCTAGGAACTTCCACGAAAAATTTTACATGAAGTTTGTTGAAAGAAAACCTGTTGTTGAGTGGCATTGTGTGAAGATCCCACTAGCCTAAGGGCTCATATATGGTAACCCTAGAACCTTGTAGTTCAAAGAATACCTTATTCAGACTTAATTTACAGAATTCCACACTGTTACTCTACATGGTATAAAAACTTTACTTTTCTCATGCTTTGTTCTTAGAAACAAATATGTTAGATGATTCTTTAATAGTCTAGATATTAGTAAATACTATACAAGATTGTATTTATGAAAAAATTGAACCGGCATTGTTTTATCTATGGGGTTTTTTCCTTTCTAAAACCAGTCCCTCAAATTATCATGTTTCGAAATATGTTCTCCCAATAAGATAAAATAAAATAAAATACTTGAAATAAAAGTCGTAAAATTGTTTAAGTTACATCAAATATGTCCCTATGGTTAAATTTGGTTCAAGACCTCGGAATTCAGGATTGTCACTGACCTTACCTTGATCTGACCCATACCTGGCTCTTTGACGTGCATCACAGATAGATAGGATAGTGTGTCATTATGATGCCCATGACCTAAATCCATGCATTTGATAGAATAGAACAGTTGAAAGTACTTGAAACTAAAGTTGCATTTTAATGATGAAACTTTTAAAGCGATTAGTAAATGGTTTTACCGAGCAAGGAGAAACAAAACAAATTTAGAAAAGGAGGGCTATTCACATGCATTGAGAAACATATAATTGCGTGCCATTTTGGAACCCAAGAACTAAAATTTACATCTTTCATGTGATGTAGTTGGATTTAAAAACTAAAAATGTTGTTTAATTATGGAATGATTGTTTTACAGCCAATCGGAATATAAGATTGTCCAAAGCTTATTAGCATTACTAGTTATAATTCCCTCAAAGAAAAATATTGGTTGATGAAGCATGGGGGCTTATGGATAGGAGATGATACTATGGTTCATCCTGGCTTATGAATAGTTGATGAATAAGTACATGTACTATTCTCTTCAGAAATAATGATGGTGTATCAATTCCCTGTGAAAATGATAGCTTCCGTGGGCCAAGGTAGTGAACTAGGAGTATTTTAACATACTTATTAACAGGATGGCAGGGTGAATTTTAATGTGGAAAAGTGCACAGTATGGTAAGAATACGCATACCATTTTCTCCTTCTTGAACTTATCCAAAAAAAACTGATGAAATTTCTGGGAAACCTTGTACTTGCTTGTTATCTTATAAGCTACCGGCCTTGTTGTAAATAGCGGCTGATAGCGGCGCCATTGCGGCGCAAATAGCGGTAGTGGAGCCTACCACTACAACTTCATTGATTGTTGTGAACAATAGTGCTGGTGAGTGCCTTACGCTCACCAAAGCGCTCGAAAACAGTAAATAGCAGCAAATAGTGGTAAATTGCGCTCATTTTTCTATGCTTAAAGACTTGATTTTTATGTGAAGTTTCAAATAGTTAATACAATTATGTTGCTACAATTCAACGTTTTTCTATTATTGAGAGTTTTTCTATTAGAGATTTGAAAGTTGAAGGAATGAGATAATAACAGTGTTTTTGATAGACATGTATGCATTTTCATTCTGTACAGTACTTTTGTTAACATTATGGGATTGTCACACGTCTATGTCATGCTTAGGATCTCTATAAATCATCAGATATGCATGTGTAGAATTTTTACAGTTTTCTTTTAAGTTTTATTTTTTTAAATATTTATACATATTTAAATTGGATCATTATTTAACTTTGCGCTTTTTACCGCTATTTTGTCACTATAGTATAGCCCCAAATAGTCTTAGCAATGCCTCACCGCTACGCGAAGCTATCCGCTATGGGTACTGGGTCGCAAACTAAGTGATGTGAGAGATGGATCTTCTCATATGAATCTGGAAAATAAATAGAGTTATGAGTATTATGATCTGCCTTCTCATTTCTTAAAAAGGCTTCTGGGTCATTGACTTGTATCAAAGTTGCATAGATTCTCTAATAAGTGAGGTTGGAAAATAGCAGTTGGAGAGTGAGAAGTGTTTATTTCTGCAGGTTTGTCCAGCAGAAATTAGGTGGCCCCTCACTCTCAGAATATGAGAAACTCCAAGCAGAGAAGGCTGATTTGCAGTTGAAGTATGACGAGCTCCTGGCTGCTCACAAAGAAACATGTGCAATGGTACTAGCTCACATAATTTACATAGTACTCTCTCTTTTTTCTACAATTGCTATCTATCTTTTGTATTTTGTGTTGACATGGATCTTTATTTATGCATGGATTAGGATATTTGGGCAGATATTCATACATGATTCCTTAAATGTGGTGTTCGGTTGTCTGCATATTCTTTGTTACCAACAAAACATACTGCTTATCTGCCAATTGGTAGTCAACTTGTAAATCCTTAACGAGGTTGTGCTATTTTCTTGGTCAAAGTGTGGCAGACAAGTCAAGCGCTTGTTTTTAACCCTTAGCGGTTTGATTGTATATGGGAACACCTATCTTATTAGTTGTGTAGTAATAGCAATATGTTGGATATTATTTTTTAGTAAAAAATAGGGCAGGATGCCCTATTCATATATTAAAACAAAATAAGATAAAATACATAGAAAGACGACTAGAGGGAGAACTTTTAGTTACCTGTTTTAACCGCATGGCAATACGTCGGATATGATTGGATAGAAATCCATATACAATAGATTTCTAATTCGCATTAGTTTGTTATAAACGCATAAAGTTTCAAAAAAAACCAGGTCAAAATTTTAAAATTAATTAAACTTGTTTAAATGGGTTTTAGGAGGTTTAAAGATCGAAAGAGTACTTTTCATAAAAACATAGTGATACAATTTCCAGAATTTATTTCAACTTGCATCTGATATATCTTAATTTCTTGATTCTCATGTTTTATGTTGACTGAAGTTAAGATAGTCATGTTGAGCACCTCGAGTATGCTTGAAGATCTTTGAATAATACTTCAGTTAGTGCAGAAAATTTGTTAATACTCCATATTTCCCACTGGAAAATCTAAGTAGACATTACTAACGTAGACTGAAGTTTTTCTCTCAGCGCTTCCTTTGTAAGAAGCTTGGATGCATCACTTTCAGAAGCTCTCGCTTCCTTTGTTAATAGTCATTTTGTTCCGGTTATCTGGGTCAGATTCTATACTCAGCCTTTTAAACTGGAGAGTTCTTCTACAGACTGGGAACCTCTCTACTACTTTATATAGGCAGTGTAAATTAATGGTTTAAACAGACGATTATGATAAATTAAGAGTTTGGTACTAATGTGATAAGTTGATGTTAGCTTGAATTCTCGTCGAAGAAATTTTTTTCCCGAGGTTTTTTATGGGGACCTTTCTCCCTCTCGACTCTCGAGTATGTGCATGTTCATGTGCACGTGCACGTGAACGTGTGTTTATTTTCAGTAATTTTTAGAACTAATCATTTGCTAATACTTGCAGCTTGATGTGTTGAAGAACTCCAAGGTCGCAGCTACATGCAAAGAGGAAGTAGACGGAGATAATGTAAAGGATGAGTTATAGGCTTATTTGTCATTCATTAATTTTATTGCGTGCTAGGCTTGAAAAAAAAAATTAAGAAGGAAAGGTCATTGTCTACACTAATCTGCTATGAATCTGAATATGTAACTAATAATTTTTCTCACGCTTAAACATTGAAATGGTACCAGTTTGTCATTAAGAATTACACACCCTTGTCATTGTTCTTCTATTCATTTATTTCTATCCAACTTTTTTTTTTTCTTTTCTTTTTTCTGCCGGGCTGTGTCTCTTTCAACACAGTCTCAATATATATATTCTTTATTGATCTCCATGTATGAGAATAATGTTAGGAAATAGAATACATGCAAAATTATAGCATTCTCAACTTGAAAATTAGAGGGACATTAATATTAAAGAATGTGATAGCGTGTAGCTTTGGCAAGAACAAGAGAATTGAGGTAATGTTTGTGGCTTGACCTCCAACTTTGAAAATAGTGGTTACTGAAGAGAACTTAAAACTTTGTAATTTTGGATTTTATTCCTACTGATTCTGGGATTTTGTCTCTGTTCTCTGGTGTATGAATGGGGGTGTTATCGTACAAGTTTTGTTACTCAGGCATGTTACGTGCATGCTCTGATTTCTTTGTTTTGTGTTTGAGTCTTTGAGCTGGATTACTATACTATCAAATAGTATAGTAAATATGTATCCTTTCAAATGGTATAGTAAGTATGTATCCATTTAGTATTAGAGATTTTTTTCACTTGTTCAATAATTATTTTCATAGTTTCAAGTGAAAAAGAATTCCCATTGTTTATGCGTTTTTCACTGAATCTTCAACACCCCCATAGTAAATTGAGCATTTATCTGGGTTTGCCTCAAGTCCTGAAGTGATACTGAATTCCTTAATACATTGATATAGCTTTTGCACAGAGTGAAGATCACCCTTAGCAAATAAAAGCAGATCATCTACAAATATGAGGTGATTGATCTGAAATTTAGCACACTTTGGGTGAAATTTGAATAGCCTATCATTCTTTAACAAACCCAAGCTCCTTGAGAGGTACTCCATCCCCAAAATAAACAAATATGGAGATAGATGATCCCCTTGTCTCAGCCCCCCGTTCATCCTTGAAATAGCCATGAAGAGTTCAATTTAGAGATATAGAATACTTTGGAGAGGAAGTGCAAGCCAAAATCCACTTAATCAGAGCCACATGGAAACCTAAGCCATGGAGCAAGTCAGAAACGAAACTCCAACTGATAGTATCAATAGCCTTCCTAATGTCAATATTTAACATAACCCTTGGAGAGAGATGTTTCCTGCCATAGCTTTTTACAAGCTCATGTGCCAACATGATGTTAGATAAAATCTGCTTCCCTTAACAAAAGCAATTTGTGCTTCATTTACAAGATACCCCATTATAGTTTTTACTCTATTCGACAAAATTTTTTAGATGAACTTGTATAAACAATTACAGAGCAATTTTTGAGATGGGCAAAATATTTTGATGAAATATCAAATATGTATGATAGTTTTTTTTAAAAGTTTGAGGTAATAAAGAGCAATTAACCGTTTCAAAAACAAGCGAAAAAACTCAACAGAGGGGGCGAAAGCGGGGAGAGCTCCAGTCTTGTCTCAGCGATGAGGAGGCTCTTTTCCCATCACCATCATCTCAACAAGCTCCTCTCTCGAAACCCTAACCCTAGATTCCCTAAACCCCCGCCACCATCGCTCAATCAATCCATCTCCTCCTCCTCCTCCTCCTCCGCCGCCGCCAAAACTCAACAGAGGGGGCGAAAGCGGGGAGAGCTCCAGTCTTGTCTCAGCGATGAGGAGGCTCTTTTCCCATCACCATCATCTCAACAAGCTCCTCTCTCGAAACCCTAACCCTAGATTCCCTAAACCCCCGCCACCATCGCTCAATCAATCCATCTCCTCCTCCTCCTCCTCCTCCGCCACCGCCGCCAACCTCCACCGCCCTCTCTCGCGCATTCCGTCGAACACCTTCAGCTCATGGCGCCGCGGCGTCTCTCCGTCGAGCTCTCTAGGGTTTCTCTCTTACCAGTTCCTCTCCAAGGCGAAGAAGCCTCTCGATCTCGCCGGCTTCGTCGAGAGCGGGATCCACTCGCTCAAGGTCTCTCTGCGGAGGAGGAGAGGGTTTGATTTCGGCCGTCGATTCTCCATTCCCGGTCTAGGCTACTGGTACTAGGTTTTGGGGGCCGATATCTCATAAACCCTAGGACAAAGATGCAAGCTTTGAGGTTTTCTTGTTTCTTTTTACGCAGGAGATACTTGAATCTGACACCGGATGGAGTTGTCCTCGGCTTAATTGGAGCCAATGTTGCAGTTTTCTTCCTTTGGAGGATCGGCAGTCCTAGATTCATGAGGAATCACTTTATGGTAGCGCATTCTGATTTAGGAGCAAAAAGTGGTTTGTGAGTGTCCTCTCTTTTGCTAACTAGGTTCCCTTTTTATTTGTTGATGGCAGATTTCGCTGGATAATTTCAAGAGCGGCCGACTGCATACTCTGGTGACGTGCGCGTTTAGTCATGTGGAGTTTGATCACCTCCTATCGAACATGATCGGTCTCTACTTCTTCGGAACAAATGTATGGTTTGGTTTTAATTCTGCTTAATGTTTTTTTAGTTCGTTGAGTGTTCTTATACGGGGTCTCAGGCCTTATAATGTGTTAGCCAACAAGTTTGCCTGATGAATGTATATGGTCAAAGGACTCTTCGAGCTGGTGAGTGTTGAGGGTTGTAATTTTATACTCTTAACATATATATTATAAGACCTATATTCCCTCCATGTGAAATTTGAAGGTGTAACATGGAGAAGAAAGGCAAGTTTAAAGGAGGGATTCCTCTTTATTTTATTGTACCGATCAAGGGCTAAGGACTTTTATTTATAGGTACATTATAGCCTAATTATGGAAGAATAATTACTACCGGTTACAATATATTTATAATAGCTACCATATTTGCCATTTTAATATTGTGCTATCAATGATTTTAATTATGTTGTGTTCCTTTTAGTACTAGCTAACATCTAACACATTTAGCACATGTATAATGTGCCATAGGTAGCTAATAATGCCTTGATTTGTGCATTGATATAGATCAAAATTGAGTTGTCATTGACAACTCTTTTCTGATGCTTCCAAATTAGATTTCCTCTCTTTACATATATTGAACTTATTAGCAGTATATCTTGTGACCTTAAGGAACTTTTCATTGCAACAAGTTTTATCAAGATTATTTGTTGATCGCAGTAGAGATTGTAGCTAATAAGTCAATAATCATTTTAGTTATAATTAGTATTCTGTCAAGTTTTCGAGAAGTGCTTTCGGTTTTTTGTTTTTCTAGGTGGTATGTTGACTATGCTCTTTATGAGTGAGTTTTCACTTTTCAGAGGGCAAAGAAATTTCATCAAAAAAAAAAAAAGGGCCAAAGACATTGTACATCACATCACCCGAAGTCCTCTGTATAAGGTCACAAAAATACGCACCAGTGCGAAAGAAAAGGAAACAAGAGTTAATTACCTCTATGGACCAATTACAAAAATGTTAACGATAGCTTGTTGCATACAGTGCTGAATGAAACTCATGTTTCCGGTGCATATGGTTTTGTAGTTACGCTGATGCTAACCTTGATATAGAGCTTAGCATCGAAATTGTGTTCTATAGTTTTAAACTGTTTTTCTTTATATTACATACACATGACAAATTCATGCGCAATCTGAACCTGGCTGGTGGCACTGTGACCAGATTGGAAGGCTGTTCGGACCTGAATACCTGCTGAAATTATATCTTGCTGGAGCATTGGGAGGATCGATATTTTTCTTGTTGCACAAGTTTCTAATTGCTCCATCTTCAAAGGTAACGAATGATGCGGCAGGAATTACTGGACAAGCTAAGCAATAATCATAACCCACGATGTTCAGAAGCTGGTCACCCTTATGGCTGCTGATAATATCTGATGGTCTTTGATTCAAATTTATTGTGTGCCGTGCTGTTCAGTCACTGTTTTCATAATTCTTGAACCTCCTCTGTGAAAATTGCAGGGTACGTTTGGATGGGATTCTTCTAGAGTACCTGGCCTGGTACGTCAATTCAAGTTGTTGATCGACTGATTCAGCACTCATCCTCAGACAACATAATGAAGCAAACAAATTCCAAGAAATAATTATGCATGTCAAAAATCTTGAAACATCTGTTTCATTTGTAGATATAGATGCAACCTTCATTCATGCACCTACATCTGCTCAAACTTCATTTTAACATCTGACTTTTATATGTGTCTTGCCCACGTAATTCCCCATTCTACTCTTTTCGATGTAAACTAACGACCATTGTAATCAACGTGTCATACAGGGTGCAAGCGGTGCCGTGAATGCAATAATTCTTCTAAATGTATTTCTTTTTCCTAAGGATATATACTACATAAACCTCATCATACCAGTACCTGCAATGTTAATGGTGAGATCAGATTCTCAGTCCAAAGTTTTGTTTTTCCTGCTAAGGGTTACATTTACTTAACATCCTACTATGTCATCTCAGGGAGCATTAATTATTGGAACTGATCTATGGAGGGTAAAAAAGGTACGGAACTGTTCTAGGCGTTCCCATTCTCTCTTATGTACAAATTGGGTGTGGACAAATTGTTTAAATGATTTTAAATATAGCACTAATGAACATTGGCTGTATAAAATCTCAACCCTTACGGATTAGAGGTATGGTGGGATTCTCATGCAGTAGGTATAGAGTGGTATATTGAGAAAGACATTCATCTTCTTATTCAAAACATAGAGCCACTTGAATTCTCATACATCACATGTTCTTTTTCTCCCTTTCTTTTTTATTTTTTGAATAAAGATTTGACATTGCTCTTTATCTTTCCTGGCTAAATATGTCACAAACATCTAACAGTGATCAGTGGTGCAGTATTTGGTTATAACATCATAAAGGGACCTTTGAAGCAGTGTCCAATACTAGTTTCTACAGCTGAGACAATATTGTTTTTAGTGAATGATTGAATTTACTTGGGATATGGGTTGTGCACTACTTTTTACTAACATTTGGAATCTTGTTCACTTTTTGTCATTGATGAATTCAACAAGCTTGTATTCAATCTTATCCAATGATTGTTAGTCTGGCAAGACTCTCTTCATGTTAGGATATTATGTTTTGTTATTTTATTATTTTTATTTTTTTACATCGTTAACCATTTTGGAGAGAGGAAAAAGAAAGGAAGCTAGTATTGTAAGGAAACAACAGGGCACATAAGAGGATCTGGATATGTGAAGAAATTCTTTAATACCAAATTAGTGTTGGCTAGTAGGAGATCCAAGAGTTATAGTAGAGAACAAGAGGTGGAGCAAATAAACGCGATGCCTTTTAGATCAAAGCAACAAATGTTTCATTCCATATTCATCGACAGTCGATACTGAGTACACCTCTGATATCTGAGCCCTTTGTAGATTTGAGATGCATAAAAATAGATAAGACTGGATTCTAATTTTGTAGAATCTAAATATAAGTAGGTCAGAAAAAAAACTTATCTAACTAACAAATGAACTACCTTACAAACAAATCTAACAAGTTTACTAAACTAATTCTGGTCCTAACAGAATCCGGTACAAGCTACCTAATAAGTAAATTGATTTATTTAACCAATCAAAACATGATCTTGATCCATCAAAATCTTCATCATCTAGGCACACCTGTCTACATCCTTGCTTCATACTTCACTTCGGGGAAGAGGTCAACAAATATTACTTTCAATCCTTTATTCTATTGAAGGTTTAACCTCGTTAGATATCTTGATGTAGGCAATAGTTTGCATTATTGTATACGATGTGCAAGTGAAAAATGATCTGGCCATCTTTGGTGCTGATACTAAGTAAAGATGGGGATTAGAAATGTTGGGGCTGTCTAAAGTAAGGTTGGCACGTGTTGGGAATGGCTGCAAAGAGTGCTTAATCTCAAAGTATAAGTTCTGAATGGGTCATTATATTCCCACCTATTGGGAACATTGATATTTCATTTTAAACTGCACTTGAAATACATATATATAAGTTCAACACGCACTACATAAGAGGGTCAATAGTATATATATATTGGTATTCCTTCTTATGAATTAGTTCACTTATGGAGAGCCAATATCAGAATTGGTCACTGATTTACTTTTATACCCTTTTTGTCTATTAAAAATTATAGCTTGTTGTCCCTGATTTGCTTCATTTCCCCTTTGGTCTCTGTCACTTGTAGTTTGGTTCTTACTTAACCCTTATGTTGTTTTGCCCTTGTGTCCTTCTTTAACCTTATATTTGGCAAACGGTTGATCTCTTTCACCTTGTTGGTGACAGGCAGCAAGTTTTTTTCCATTCTTGAAGTGGACACTTAAGCTTGCATCAGTTATTAATCACACTCTGTTCAAGCACTTATACCCTGATTTATGTTTAATTTTATTTTTATCTTTTGGTTTGGAGTGATGTTGGCAATATTAAAGCAACAACCAAAAGTTCTGAAAGCTCTCCATTGAACCCAATGACAATGATGCATAGTGTTGGAATTTCTTTCTGACATGCTTTGATAATTTTGCTCATGCCTTGTTCTAATTAACCCATCTCCTTTTAAGAGGAAAAGACTGTTTTAGGAGCATCTTGCATCCATTCGGTTTTAGTGTGAGTCTAGCAAAAAAGCATGAGATGTGATTTAGTTCCACATTGAGGGGGAAAAGTTAGACGTATATATGGTTAAATATGCTTTGGATTCATTACTCAAATAGGGTTGAACCTTTTGAGTCAATTGGGTCAAAGTAAGTAGATTTGCCTTTACGGGCCTTTGCAACCTATAAGATAACAATTTCTTCTATTACAAGTTCGGCTCCAAGTAATTGCAACTTTATGTTCAGAAAATGTGCATATTTGTAGTATGCTAAATCTTTGACTTTCATGTTCTCGTGTTATTCCATTTAGGGTGAGGGAGATATCTCAGGATCGGCTCATTTGGGGGGTGCTCTGGTCGCTGCCTTGGCATGGGCCAGAATTAAGCATTGGATTTGAATCTGCAGTTTTGTACAGTAACTCACATCCTCTTCACTGGTTTTTGCTCAACAAGAAAAATGACGGACAAGTGGGGGCGAATTCACGAATCTTGTATTTTATCGTGGTTTTCTTTTTATGTTTTTAGTTAATCCTGATGTGGTCGAGTAACCTAATGTTTATGAGCTGGTATATAAGCATCATGGATCCTGACATTTCCTCCATGTATTAGCGATTAACGACGTAAAAGATGTTTTAGATTTGAGTGGTAAGCTACGTTCATGTGCTTCAATTGATTCTAATGTGTTCCGAGTAACCTAGTATGAGTTTGCGTATAAGCATCATAGATCCTGATATTTTCTTTAGTGTTATAACCATCAAGGTATTTGGTGATTGATGGACATAAAGATGTTTTAAATTTTGAGCGATAACTTATGTTCATGTGTTTTAATCATTTCTAATGTGCTTGAGTGACCTAATGTTTATGAGTAAGCATTGTAGATCCTTATATTTTCTGTTGTGCGATAACCTTGAATGCGTAGCTGACTGATGAGACGCAGTTCTATTACAAAGGTTTTAGATCTGAGTGAAAAAAATATTGATTAAATATGCTGCCAAAGACAAAATTATTTCTTAATAAACAAAAAATTAGAAAAGAATATATCGGCCTCTGTTTAAGGAGACAAAACTTTTGTATTTTGTTCAACACTAAAGACTGATTAAATTTTAAAAAGAAACAATGAATAAGACACAAAATGTTTGGACCTTTGCTTAGCCACTGGCGTAATTTTTCTTAATTAATCTTACACTCGAAGTTGCTAACAAGAAAATAGGTGTAAGACTGAAAAATTACAAACACATACCAATATCTGATTCTCTGAATAACACGGAAATCTTTTCAACATGCGAATTGTTACAACCTCAAAACGTTTACAAATTCAAAATATCGTCAATAATATGGATATCAGCAAATGCTCCTCTTTTTTTTAAACTTTTTTTTTGGGATTTATTCCTCCATATCTTCTGCAAACTCCTCTTTGTACATTTCTTCTATCATGGGCTTCCATAACCGAACACGTGCATTTATGAACCAATTCGATATCTGAATACATTCAATTCGAACTTATAAGAACTGTGGTCTGCTGTCGAGTCTAGAAATTTAAGATCATCACAAGAAAATTACCTGGTTTCTTGTTAAGCCTGTTTTCGAAGCCAGCATGAGCTTCTCACTGTCAGTTGGATAACTGTTTTCTACGAATAGTTAGTATATACATACACATGCAAATAACAGTCTGATGAAGGGAACACTACAGGCTTTATGATACTTACGGGTGAAGAAAATGTTCGAAAAGCCAAGATCGAAGGCATGCAACTGATCCTTCCGGAAGACCCCTTAACGGTCTCCAAACCTGTCGTATTTGTACCATGCTGAGCTGCTGAAGAGTCCCACTCTTATGTTGATTTCGTGGTGGATTTTTGGAGAGAGATTCTCTTGAGGAATTTAGTTGGGTGATTATAGCTTCTCTGAGGTTGGAGAAGTGTTTAGACATGGCTTGGATTGTGAGGGCAGTGTATGATGACGCGGACCCTATGCCTGCTATTGATTCGAATGACGATACTACTGTGTTCATTTGATGAAAGTAGTAATCACATCGGCTCTCAAGCTGAAAAAAGAAAGGCGAAAAAAAAAATGAAGTTACTACGAGACCCATGATTGAGATGGAGTAGTCAGTGATTTAAGCTAAAAATCACTATAAAGCCGGGACATATCCTTAGGTTTGTTATGTTTTAGTATAAACTATTATCCTAAGATGCATCTGATATCATGAGCTGCACAATAGTTTCATAAATGTGTCTGGCTAGCTCCAAGGAAATGTCCAAGGTTAAAATTGACAACAAAATTCAGGAACACCAGAGGGAACTCTTTGTGTATGTACGCGTGCATGGACATGGCTTCATGAATCATGATATACGATTATCTTGCAACATAGCTCATCACGATACCCCTAAATCACAGACGATCCTACACCGACACGCAACAAAATTATATTACGAACAATCGATTTACACAGTGAACACTATACACTATCAGAGTCTCATGCCAAATATCAGATTTTATATTACAGAGAAGAAACTACGTTCATCTATAAATCATAAATCCGTAGCAAAGTAAGCGAAACCATTCTATAAGCTACAGATTTAGAAAGAGCGAAAATAAGATGACGAATGTGGCAAATACCTGATCTAACAAGGCAACAAGCTTGCTGATTTTGATATGGACAGCATCGTTCTCGTCTGCTGAGTAGCAATTTGCTTCAAATTGCTTCAAATTAATCTCGGAACACTTTCGAGCTTGCTTGTCATGTTCAGAATCAACTGCATTGCTCACACAAACAACTTCATCTAACAACTCCTGAGCTGGTTTCATATATGGAGAGCTCTGAAGGGCTACTAGAGCCGACGCCATACTGTTCAGAACATGATTATAAGGATTCATGGAATTATAAACTCTGTTATTGTTCTCACTGTTACCAAGAGTCAGCGAAAGCCCGTGTCCTTTTCCATAGCCAACACCTCCGTACTGTTTATGTGCTTCATGATTGATCAAATTATTCATGTGTTCCTCATTTGGATTGACGAAAAGCGGTGCACTGTCTGGTCGAAACTGTAGATTATAGGCGATATGTTCGGTATGAACGGAGCTCGTATCCTTCGAGAACTCTTGAGAAACCATAGCCAAACAAGGTCTAGATGATGCTATGACGATCTGCTATAAGGACTAAAATTTACCTCAATATTTCTCATGAATACCAAACACTAAAATTTCCCAACTATAGGAGCAACGCCAAAAATAGAGATAAAATAAGGGGGAGGAGAGTGATGAAGGTTCAGGGTGAATAACAACCAGTATGAGACCATCAATTGACAAATCAAGCAACCAAAAACAACCCCAAAAACCCCCACAAAACAAGTTACAAACCCCACACACAAAAAAAAAAAAGTAAAAATAGTCAAACAGTGCAAAACATGTCTATAGGTAAGATGATTACCCCCAAGTCCTGAGGATGATAAAGGCAATGTGATTGAGCTTCTTGCTACTAAAAATAAAAGTACTCAGCAGGGGGGGAGAAAAAGGAGGAGGAGGAGGAGGAAGAAGAAAAACCAGTGGTTTTTGCTACAACTGTGCCTCTCTTATTGAAGAGGCACATTGAAGTTTGTGAAGGGGGTGCCTCAGTCTAGTGAAAAGACCAACCTCTTTTCCAGTTTTCAGCTGCCCTGTTTTCTGCCAGGGAATATGTCTTTTCACTTTATTTTATTTTATTTTATTTTATTTTAGTGTCTCTATGGCCATCAGTGAAATCTGAAAGTGCATTTGGAGTGGGCTTTTTTTGTTGTGCGCGTATGCCTTTTATTTTAGTCATTATTATTGCTATTATTTTTTGTTTCATTTGGCTTGTTAATTAATCATTGCATGCTTTTCTTGTCTTTTCTCTCTGATATTGATAGAGGGTCACATGTTGGGTCTCACATCAATCTCAGTACTTCCTGCTGCATTCTCTCTCTCTCTATCTCTCTGTGAATCAGCCTGTGCCCTGCTCCGTACTCTCATTTATTTATTACTATTGAAGACTGTACCCTCCTTTTCCCCTGTTTAAAAAAGGACTACGTACATAAAATCTATTGATCACCATCACTGTGAAGCCCACCTAGAATCGTGAAGGTTGTGTGGATAATGCTAGACAAGTCATCATGTCCCTGTAAAGATTTTTTGTGACAGCCTCCGAGAATTGTATTTTTGATGATAGATAGTTGTGGATGATAAAGGGACTGATTGAGGCCTAGTCCAAATGTGGTAGGTTAGATGATTACTCGATCGTGCAAGATTAATTAGTCTGGTTAAGCCTGAAAAAGGAAACTTGCCCACCTTTTCAGGCTGAGGAAATTTCAACACTAACTAACAACTCCAACTAATTAGCGCGCTCGCGCGCGTCTGCACTATAAAAAAAAATTGGACCAGGTTCAGTCCCGGGCACTATTTTGGCCGAGACCAGTTTAGTTGCGGACCGCCTCCCCCCTAAATCCCAGACTAATACAAACTGGACCACCCAAGACCTCGTTTTTGGCAAGCAGAGATGTTACGGGCTCACCCAGGGGCCAGGGCTACATTTATCCATGTCACTTGCTGAAAAAGCAGCGCTCGTAGGGACATTTGTCAAATTTGCAACCGTGGTCCACCCCTCTCATTTAATGATAATAACACGCCAATGAATCTAGCAAGATCATGGTGCATCATAACCTAACCTCACCCTCACCTGCCATCACATCATTCGCCTCTAGGCTCTAGCTAGGACCACTTTTAACAGTTTCAGAAAAAAAAAAAAATCTGAACCAATGGAGAGCAGGGAAGGAAAAACATAGAATCAGTGCGAGGCATGGAGATTTAGAGATATATATATATATACCTCTCCATGTGATGCCCAGTCCAAATCCTCTACTCCGTTTGATGGCATGTTCTTGCGCATTCAGGCTCTGCAGCACATTCAGTGGGGGGGAGAGAGAGAGAGAGAGATGTATGGATGTGATGTGATGTGATGGCATGGGATGTACTTCATCAAAGTCCCATCTCACTGAGTAACGATAACTGTAATAAGAGAGCACTTCATCAGAGTCCCATCAGCTTTCCAGCACCCAGGGGTTGATGATTCTCACCGTGTACTTGATCTCATGCATCTTCAAACCTTCACGCAAAGACGAATTGAGATCCTCTACTCATGCATAGTACTTCCTAATATTTGCTAATGCATCTCCACCTTTCATTTTGTGGACAAGTACAAAGTGAAAGGTGGGGTCCACAAAATGAAAGGAGGAGATGCATTAGCAAATATTAGGAAACACTATGCATGAGTAGAGGATCTCAATTCCGCAAAGACTACCATGATTCACGTAGACAATATATATTATATTCCCACACAACCTTGGCTCTGACATTCAAAATGTTTGCTTCTTCATATACTACACAAAAATATGTATCCATGACATAATCTCTACACCAACCTATCAATATATGTATACACCAACCGCCACTTTTGCACATTACCCTATAATTCATCATACTATTGTTCACTCTCTTCAACAATTGCAAGCAAGGAACTCTAAAGAGTTCGATCTTAAAAGCTTGTTATTCTCAATCACATAACACACTACACTTGCATATACACAAGTTCAAGCCACAAAATCATGCAATAGATGGGAGGGGCCAAACCCTAATGAGTTCGGGCCTCCGGTACTGTACACATCCTCCCCTCTCACCGCAAGAAAACCCTGCTGATCGCCTTCTTCGCAATGCTGAAGGCCCAACGTGAGGGAAACCCCGCTGGCGTTCCCAAATCTCCCCATCTCAGCCATTTGATAAGCCATGAACCTTTCACCATCGTGTATAAGGTTGAAATCCTCCGGATTTGGCTTCTGTTGTCTGTCGGTATCTACTGCCTCGTTATTATACCCAGCGTTACCGACGTCAATGTTGGGGATTAGGTTGCTTTGGCCAGCACTGTTTTTGGGGAATTTGTCGGAATTAGGGCTTTGGAGCAAGTCTCCTCTGTCTTCAGATATTTGAGCGTCGTCTCTGGCTTTGGGTATGTTTTCGGAGGAAGAATTTGAGTCCATTTCGGTCTCTCCAAACTCTTCTTTGTACATCTCTTCGACCATGGGCTTCCAGAGACGGACTCGTGCATTTATGAACCAGTTTGAGACCTGTTGACATAACATAGTATAAAAAGAAAAGCTCAATTTCCACTAAATATTTCGCCATTAAACTGGTTGTAGATTATCTAAGATACGGAGCACAAATGTATGACAAGAAAGTCAAAGGTTATAACTTGAGCAAAAATATAATCCTCGACAGTTTGAACTCAAATTCTAGGTGAAAGAAACTATGAGCTCGCGCAGTTCTATTACAAAGGTTTTATTTATTGATGAAGTGGTGGAAGCTTGTCAAAGGACTCTGCCACTACACAAAAAACTCTGAAGTTGCAGTGAGGCTTGAGGCTTACAATGTTATAACATGCCCTGGCAAGTTGAGCACCCTCTCATGGGAAAAGACCTAGGCTCCCATTGTGGTATTATTATTATTATTTTTTCTAATCCACTTTAAAACTTCACGTCCACTAAGATTATTTGAATGTCGCTCTGATACCATGATACCATGACAAAGGACCCTGCCATAGCGCTTAAAACTCCAAAGTCATGGTGAGGGTTGAGGGCTGTAGTTTTATAGAGTGCAGAACAGAAATATTGAGAATTCAAAATGAATACAGTTGTATTACTTCATCTGTGAATTGTCTGATATAAACATAAATCTTGTTCATGCTTTTACTTGTTGATAAAATGATCCTTGATGGATGAATAAAAAAATTCAGGACCTGCTTAATTTCAATCACATATTGAGGAATAACATTATTAACAATTTATTCCAATTCCTTTCCTGGAAAAAAAAAATCTAATGATTTACTGATAGAAAATAATCGAAAAAAGTACCTGACCCCTTGTCAATCCTGTCTGCCTTGCTAACATTAACTTCTCAGAATCATTTGGATAACTGGCAAAAAAATACAGAGAACAAACAAAACATTAATAAAAAATATGATGCACAGAAAGTAAGCAAAGAGTTTTTTAGTGTAAAAGACTTACGGATGAAGGAAATGTTCAAAGAGCCAAGCCCGGAGAACTGAAACAGAGGTTTCTGGTAATCCCCTTTGGGGCCTCCAAGCATGAGGCTGCATCATACCGAGTTGCTGCATTGCCCTCTGCTGCCTCAAATGCTGGTCTATATAACGAAGCCGAGATATTCCACACCCTTTAGTACTTGAGCTCTCTTGCTCTCCGAGAATTTTTCGGGTGGACTGAATCTGACTGCTGATGGCATCTCTGAGGCAGCGAAAATGGCGAGAAATAGTTTGAAGGGCAAGGGCGGTGTAAGGTTTAGCAGCACCAGTGCCTGCTATTGCATCAAAGGATGACACTATAATCTGCATTTGATGGTAATATTGTTTGTACCTTCTATCGACCTGCAACGGGCAGTAGATTAGGCTTTTAAAATTTTACGTACGTCATATTTCTGCTTGAAATTATGCAGATAAAATAGTATAAAGCCCTCTGTCGATCACATTAAGAATTGTGTAGATTGACTTTGTTTACAAGTTTATAACATAAACTTATTCTATTACCGCCTAAAGTTCAACAAAACGACTAATAAAAAAATGCAACCTTAAAAAAAGAAACCTGTGAAATCTTCCATATAAATAGGTTGAAGAACATGTAAGCAAGGTCTTAATCGACACTCAAAAACTAAAATAAATACGATGTGTAAATCAGAATAAGTTATAAATAGAGGTAAATAATAAATTAATTGGAAAATATCATACATAAAACACTAAATTATTAGTTGTTTTTAAGATGAAGAGTTCCCAAAGGCTACAGTGGCTTGTCGAGATTTGAACCCAAGAAGTTTTTCTTAGCCAAAAGATGCTTTACTTGTGTGCTATAGTGGCAAATATATAAACTTATCTTCAAGTTATAAATAAATTCTAAACACTTTTCACTATAGCATGAATGTGATTGAGAGGATCCTATGTAATCTATCAACATGCTAGTGTTAATTACATCAATGCCAACTTCAAACAGTATAAGTGATTGCAATCAGTATGTGCTTGAACAATGATAAATTCCAATTTTGTCCGATACATGTGAGATGAAATATTATATGCTAATGTCATGACCAGAGCACTAGCTGATTCATGCACTATTTCAACCATTTAAGCATTCCATGTTTCTGCAAAAGTTAGATCTTGTAGATTTAACATTAGCACCTTTAAGTATTCTTCGGATGAGTATTATGAATTCATGTTTCTCCAATCTAAATATCTAGCAGGGAGAATGATAGTCGCCTTACATTAGGAAGGAATAAAACAAACATAAAGCCAATTATGTCAATTTTTAAAATATATTCATTAAGTTCTGCCTTTCAAAGTGAAATTCAAACTGGAGGCCTTCCACTTCATGCACAAAACTGCCACACTAGGAGGGTTAAGAATTAATATTAGAATGATTTAGAGTTTGCCTATAACCCCAATAGCTTAAAAAATTTTGTAAAATGGTTTTTGATAATAAAAAAGAAGGCATAACAGAGACCAATAGATCTATCTGATCTTAATTACTCATGCCGAAAATTAGACAATATTTAGCTTCACTGTCAAATTTAAACCAAAATGAAATTTTTGCATGATTTAACAACGGTATTACGATAAGTGAACCAGAAAGTCGTGGAAATGAATCTGCACCTCATCTAACATAGCCAATAGTTTCGTAACTTTGTTCTGAAGATCCTGCCGTTCAGAAGGAGAAAGCTCACTAGACGAATTTGCGTTCGGGTCCTGAGGGTTTGATGGCACCACTTCGCTCTTTGTTGCCCCATCACTATCTTTGCAAACTGTAGAAGTGTTGAAACTCTGGCTTTTGCGCGCTTTCTGCTTCAAAGCTTTCTGAACATTAACAACTTCATCGAGCAAATTCTGTGCCGCTTTTAGATACTTAGAATTTGAAATGTTGCTAGTGAGGTTCGTAAGTCCATAAGGAGAGGCATTTCCATTCAAAATCTTGTTTCTTGAATTATCATCTGTACATGACTCCCCGTTACGTGAAGATTGATGAGTGCTCAACATGGAGATATCCGAATTAGATGATGGGTACTTGAATAAAGACATTGGGATCTGTGTACCGAGGCTAAGAGATAATCCTTGACCTTGAACATTAGAGAAATTTGTCTGTCCATTTAAGATGACCGAGCTGCGAACTAGCTCATTACCACCATCCATTGAACCATTATTTGTTTGCATGAACAACATCTCATTTCTACCATCTCTCCAAGAATTATAAGTGTGTCCACTCATAGATGATTCCTGAGAAATAACCGAAAGAGCTCCACAATTTGGTTGGGATTCATTGCCAGTAGCCAACATCTCTGAGAATGGACCCGAAGATGCAAAATTGAAATACATCATGTTTCCACCTACTGAAGCCTCGGGATACAAATTGTCCCCCGAATCTCTAAGGTAAGCATTTGGGATGTCCTCCCTTTGGTTTGTAGAGCTTGAATAGAAAGCAGCCATTTAGTTCTCTTATCACAAATAGACAGCTTGGTTACTTGTATGCTTTGATTGGTGAATCATTAAAATCGAGACTTGAACGGTGATCAAGCAGTAGGGTTCACCATGGAGACTCAGGCCAGATTCCTCAGTGAAGATCAGTTCTACAGACCACTCAGCTGAGGTGCTTTGTTTAAGAAAGTTTTCCTGCAAAAAATTGCATAAATGAAAGGAATGCGTAGAAAGGGACTGAATTACTAGGTAACAAGAGTCTATTCAACAGAAGCGGAGAGATATAAAACAAATGGACTAATGATCATACAGAGCTAGCTACATAACAAGATGCAAGAATTATTTTTCTTTAGTGACACAATTAGACTACACGATGCAAAATTATGGGTAAAAAATCTAGATCGCATATTCATAATTCATCTCAAGAATTCTGATATTCAAAGGAAAATAGACGCGTATAGGTATATAACAACAGCACAATTAATACATGAAGGGGGGAAAAAGGATAACTAAAGCCTTCTGCTTCAGGCCTCTACCTCTCTGTAACCACAGAAAGAAATAACAGTAATTTCATCACCTCGATCTCTGAAGCAAAGCATCATTTGCACTCAATCTGGGCATCAAAATAATTCATGAAGAATACACAAATACTCAGTTGGGCACATCTAACAAGCTATATCAACTAGGCCAGTGCACAGAGAAGCAATAATAATCTAGATCAGCTAAACCCTATCATTTTCTTACTCCTGAATAAAGAGTTTTTTCTACAAAAAAAATTCTTCCCTTTTCAACCACATATTTTACCCAATTTCCCCTAACTAGTACCTCTCAATACCTAAAAAGGGTGAGCTTCCATGAGCAAGATAAAAAATCAAATTTTGAATTAATTTTAAACATAAATAAACAGTATGCTCCCTTCCTTCAGCAGCTGTGATGCAAAAGGCAAGTCTAAATCAATTGAATTATAAATAATCACAGAAATAACCCAAAATTATCCGAGACCTCAATCCTTCAACTAACCTAGGATCTCCAAATTTTAATTTTTTTTTGAAAAAAAAGAAGATCTCCATAACCCTAAATCAGTTCCCTTCTCTTCTAGTAATTCCAATTTTCGGCAAAATAATCCCAAAAACCCAACTGCAAAATAACCCAACAAAATTGAAATTGAAGGAAAAAAAAAAAAGAACCACCACCATGCACAAATTAAGAACCCCATCAGAAGCAGCAGGGTTTGTCGAAAACAAGCAATCAAAACTCACTGATAACAACAGCAATAAGAGGAAGGATGAAGATGGGTCAAATAAAGAATTGCAGTTTTTCATTAAAAATACGAGATAGGAACAAAAAGGGTAAGGGGGAGGAATTGAAAGGGAGCTCTGCTCACCTTGTGGGGAGCAGGAAAGCAAAGAATTCACAGCTGATCTTGAGAGAGAGAGGACCTCCCAATTTGGGGACAAAAACAATCCCAAGGTTCAAAAAAATAATAATATTATCAGCAAAAGAAAGGAGAAGAAGCAGCAGCCCCTTTCACAGAGATAGAGAGAGAGAGAGAGCTCAGCTCAGCTTAAGCTCAGCTGATATAGATAAATATATTAAAGAAAAACAAAAAATATACTATAAACCCACCACCCTATAACAACCACCAATATTTAAAACAAAAATCACCCAACTCTTAAAAAAAAAAAAAGTGTTGGTCCTTAAATCTTCCACAATTTCATATTAGCCCAGACAAAATTGATATTGCTGATACGACCCTCAAATCATAAGAGTTACCGCAATTCGGTCTCTCGATTAGTTTGTGAGTTAAATTTGTACATCGCGATCGTGTTAGTTTCTTAACCGACACGGTAAATTATCCTTTTAAGATTCTTTTTGAGAGGAGAAGACTACCGGGAAGACACTGAATGAGTTAGAGAAATTTTGTTACTGCTAGAGAAGATGAAGGATGTGAGTTTGGATTTTCAGTTTGCAGAATTTGTGTTTACATCCCTCAAAGGGGTGGTGAGTGATTAAAAGTAAGTGAAGGGTATAACTGGACCTCGGTATAAAATTGGTTTGATTCGAATTAATATTCCCCAAAAATATAAAGTAAGTTAACTAGAGGGACTAACCCGCAAGTACCCTTGTAATTCGAGGGACCTATTAGTAATGCCAATGACTTCGAAATACGAACGTCAAATTGTGGAAGATTTAAAGGTCATTAACTATAAACCCTTAAAAATGGTTTTCAAACAAGTGCCCCTCACATTTTGATAACTTTTAAACCGATCCCTGAAATTGTGTTCAGTCCCCAAGTAGCATATATCATCTCAAATTAGCCCTTGTGGTGAACTGTGCTGGGTTTAAGAAAACACTTCATTAAACTCAATATTTTTAACTTCCATTCCAGTATTAAAATTTTTAGTTTATATCCAAATTCAAGTTCCTTCTTGAATCCCAACTCACTTTAGAGAGAGCGAGAAAGAGGAAATTTTGTGATTTTGAAGGGAATGAATAAATTGAGAATAGAACGGTAAATAAATCACCATTCCGGGTAGAATTTAGAAATTGGTACTAAATAACAATTTCAATGATTTAGAGGACTAATTCAAAAGCATGAAAGTTTTTCAAAAAAGTTTTTCAAAAATTTGCTTTTTTTTCATTTCTCTTTTTTAAGTATTCGTGATAGTATAATATATATTATACTTTATATATATCCATAGTATATATATATATATTATATTATATATATATATATATATATATGAATATATAGAGAGAGATGAGCAGAGAATGGAGCAGAGAGGGAGAGAGAGAGAGGAGACGAGGAGAGAGAAGAGAGAACCGAACATTTTCAAGCACATTCTAACTTGCACGTTGAGGGCTTATTGTACGCTCACTTTTAATCAAGTAAACATAAGCACAGTAAGTTCCAAAAACCTCTCCTCTCCGCTCCTTGGTTAGTGTGTTTAGTTTTGTTAAGGTACTCTATCTTGTTAACCACCTGTCGGTGAACCTAAACCTTGCTCTTAAGATTAACACAGCCATACATAAGTACACACTTCCTTCTGTTCCTTTTTTCACCTGTCTCTCTCCTCTCCTAACTAACCCCACGCGCCCCCACCCCCACCCCCACCCCAACACTCTTCCTCACATGCCTTTCTATCTCCTGGATGATTTCCGAAGTACAAATACACTTTCTGACTTGAATCATTAAAAGATCATCATGTTTATGTTATATTTTGTGATATTATTGACATAAAAAAAGTGAGATGCATGCAGATGATAATTAAAATACCAGATCCGTCTATATCACACACCTCAAGCTATGCTATTCATGTAATATACAAATTTAATAAAACTAGTTCTTTTTCTTTCTTTATTCCGAACATGGTTTATCAAAAACAATACTATGAGAATATTATAGTTCTATTGCTACAAATATACCCCATAGTGAGAACATTTTTTACCCACAATATAGATTTTCACTCCGGGAGTTTATCTGCAGCAATATATTTAATTTAACAATAGAACTATCCGCAATTAATCCAATAGTTTATTAAGTTATGAACTAACTTCGTTATAATTGATAATACGTATTGGCGATTATTTTGAATTATCATGTCAATTTTTTTTTCATTTGGATACTTTTGTTAATTAAGATT